TTCAGTCACAGGTGGTACTTCCATTGCTGTAGGTGCTGATTTACTTAATCTCTGTGATTGTGACTCAGCTGACCTCGCTTCGTCATCTGAATCATGAAAGTGAACATCTACTGTGTCATCCCATGGGAGTTTACTGTCACTGGTACTTGGCTCTGAATCTCCTTTTGGTTTAAAAAATGCTATCAGCTTTGGAACTGATTGCAGTTGTGCAGCTTTGGCTGCTTTTAACTTTCTCTTTTGTGAGCCACTCAGATATTTTTTCAGGGACGACATATTTATCTCATGAGAATCCCCAAGAATAACATGTAAGCAAAAAAATAGTGTAAGTCTATAAGAGATACCAATATCACAAAAAAATAGACACAAAAACACACGTAATATAACACTGAAGTCCATTTAATGCAACATGTAAAATATCATTATTAAATAACGAGTGTCGCGTACACAATATAAAATATCACTGAGCTGAGGTGTACTGCGCACATCATTGTCATTCCTAAAAACCCACTTTAATTCATATTACGCTATATAACATTCAAATCCACCGCGTTTGTAGAATCTCAGAAAACGGGAAACATTGATAAAGGATAACTCACCTACTCAATGTTACTAGACCATGTGTTGTATTGTACCCAGGTACAGCTATATAATATTAATTGTATGTATTCATAGCATTAAGGAGAACTCAGGGTATCCATAAGATGATTGGGAAAGTCCAGTTGAGCCGGACTAGTGTACTGTAGGACTAAGTGTGGATCATGGTTTGAAGGTCATACTATTTACGCCTGTGAACGTGTAGCAAACATAACTTCCACAGATATCATATGAAAATACATGAGAACAATGATCTGGAAAAAGGATAAATGTATCAGAACTATGTGAGGTGTTGGAAGTGACCCAGAAACCATACTTGAAAGGAAATATCTTGTATGCATCGGTGTGAACTTAATACACCTCATATCCTCACGTGACAGATACCCACGACATGTACAGTGATCAGAGAATCTTATGTCTGTGTTCAAATAGTGCAATGTGTGAGAGGAGGATCCCTAATTACAGTTTTAAGTGAAGTGGATATACCCACGCCATGAACATTCGGCCTTTGTTTTAGGGAGCGTCCTGTACCCGCCTCGAGTGTGCCACGTTGATATTATAACCCAATGAATTTACCCACGAACTAGCAAACCAGAACCTCACTTTGTGTGTAATTTAGGATTAAAATATGTGTTTATAAGGCATGAGTGACAATATACCGGAAAGTGTTCAGGTGAGAACCGTAAGAAATAAAAGTAAAAATTAAAGATTGGAAACTGTAGGCCTACGCGGTGACGAGCGGCGGGGCACTGCCCTCAGTACCCTCCGTTCTACCGTCACCTCAGGTCAGTGTCCTATCGGGCTATGGGCCAATTGCAAGAACGGTTTTGGAGTGTACGACGCCATTTACGATAACCTTCTTGCCCTGGTCTTTTTCAGCAATATCACCTTTAACACATGGAATTCTCCACTTTTCGAAGCTTTGGAGGAGTCTCGAAACAAGTTTCCTGGTGGGAATTATTAGCTAGTGCTGTACTCAAAATATCGAAACTTCGAGATCTCTCCAGAGCTTCAAAAGGATGGTATTCCTGAAACAAGATCAGGGCAAGAAGGTCATCGTAAATGGCGTCATACACCCAACGACTGTTCTTACAATTGGCCCTAAATCTCGCCCTGTAATTAAGGCTTATATAGAAGTTATTACAGTTTAAAGCTTTGCCTGTTGCATAAGTGTAATAGTAATGTGTTAGGGTGTGTGATAACCGCCCGTCAGGCATTATTTCTCAGTACCCTCCGTTCTACCGTCACCTCAGGTCCCATGCGGTCGGAGTGCCTTGCTGGCGGCAGCCATTGTCCCTGTGAGCGTCCCACCAGGTGGTGACTACTCCCAGCTATGCCAATCCACTGTGAACCTGTGGATTCCCAGCACACCACCCCAAATGAGTAGTTACACATAAGGAGACCGTGAGAAACTCGGCGGTCGTCACTTGGAACGACCTATATAATACCAGGCGTAGAAATAGTACTGGTATGTCTCTTGGTGAAGCCCTCATCCTTACCCACCGAGGGCGGTGTGCGAACGAGGCGCCTGTTACGTATATCTAAAAATTACAAGGAGTCCCATACCTGCAGGTGTGGAGTGTAACAGGTGTGTTGAGATGGTGCTACTATGTATGATAACCGACGGTGCTATACTCCATACTGGTGGAGCAGTCTGATGTGTTAAGGGGTAGTGTAAGAAGGAATGACCGAGGTAAGGAGGTCGCAGATTGTTATGCAATAAGTCTGTGGATGACACGCCATTAATGTAAGACGTCTGGTGCCGAGCGGGGTAACCAACATTTTCGTTGTTCTTCTGAGGAAGGCCAATTCATTTGTATGTTTTTTACCAGTATGCTTTATAAGGAATAAATTAATTAAGACATGTTATGGTGTCACCCTTCTTTCCCTTTATCGATCTGGTCAATGAAAAACTTAACCCAATGCCTAGTCCATTCTGCACGATACCTAACGAGCTGCATACTGTCCAGAGGGGTCTGGTGGCAGCGACCCTTAGAAATTAAGATTAGAGTTAAGTATTTCCCCTTAAAATTAGTGACCCCCAGTCTGGCAGTATAGAGGCTGAGAAGATATTGACTGGCTGAGCGAGCTGTCAGCAAACCAACGGTAACTCTGACATGTACTGAACGTGAAACGATCCTGTCGTTCACACGTCAAGGCACTGAAGGTTTCTTGAACTTTATTCTCTTTCTCTCTCTCTCCAGTATATATGTATGTATAGATAGATAGATCGATGGTGGGACACGGACATTTAAAAAATGTATATACAGTATATATTTTTATTATCATATTTTCTTCATTTTACTATAGGGCCTAGTCCGTGGCCCACCTGATAACCACCCCATGGCCCACCAGCTGAAGACCACTGCGGGCCTATACTTATTGTATAGGGGCCCCATACTTATTGTATAGGGGCCCCATACTTATTGTACAGGGGCCCTTATGTTGTGAATATATTATAAAATGAAATATTCGGTGTACACTTGAAACAAGGTTATACGCTGGCACGCTGCGCGACAAATTAGTTTCAGTGGGCCCCCAGATACCGGTGGGCCCTAGGCCAATGGCCTACTTGGCCTATTTTTTTTTTTTTTTATATCCTCTTCGCCACTGATCGGCTTGTTAGCCGCTTGGGCGATCGGTAACGTCTCTTTTCATTTATATTCTTCACCAAAAGATCGGCTCGCTAGCCGCCCGGGCGATCGGTCACGTCTCTGTCACGCACTGTTGGCAAATACTGGGCATGCACCGGCTCCTGAATGTACCTGAACCCGCTCGTGTTGGTCAAGTCTTCTCTTGAAAGAGCTCACACTCGGTGCCGTCACAACACTCTATGGTAGATTGTTCCAAGAGTTTACAACCCTCACTCCGAAAAAGTTTGCCCTCACGGTTTTCTGGACTTGGTAAATCCGGCCCTGCACCTACCACACCATCCATCTGTCCCACAACCAGTACTACCACCTGCCTCACCACTACTACTAGTACCTTCATTACCACCAGTACTACCACCACCACCTCACACCACTACTACTATAACAAGTCATAGACATTACCACAAATCATACAGACTACCACAGGTAGTCTGTATGATTTGTGGTAATGTCATACACACTATCACATGTCATACACACTTGCATAAGTCATACACACTATCATAAGTCATACACACTATCATAAGTCATACACACTACCACAAACCATACACATTACCACAATTCATACACACTACCACAAATCATACACACTACCATAAGGCCTACACATTACCACAATTCATACACACTACCATAAGGCATACACACTACCACAAATCATACACACTACCACGAGTCATACTACCATAAGGCATACACATTACCACAATTCATACACACTACCATAAGGCATACACACTACCTGAAATCATACACATTACCACGAGTCATACACACTACCATAAGGCATACACATTACCATAGTACAACATTTCAGGTAAAGTGTTATATAATTTTGACTATGAAAGCTTATCTGTTCATATTGTTAAATTTGTTGTTATTCACGAACTGGTTAAGATATTCAACTCTCTAAAATACATTACCTTAAAGAGAGACTCGGGTCAGTAACCTGGGCAATAAATATTATACCTGTACACAAACTTCAATCGGCATCATTCCGATTTTGTGTTAGACAAAATGACTCAAACGACGAAGGTTTTTGACAACCCTATTGAGACAACAGGAGTCACGGTATTCATTTTGAAATTCATCTGACCTAAGATACTTTTTTAAGTGTATAATCTTTGGTGATAGTTGTCATAATTATTTTACCGTCTGTCATAAACCAACAAGTGGTGTGCTCCTATAAGTCCAGGTTTGAGCAACACTGGAACATGTTTGAGTACATTCACGAGCCCGTAGACGTAGTGTGTGTGAGGGCCCAGCACATAGCAGCAGTGAGCAGTAATAAACTGATGGACTACCTGATTGGCCAGAAGTAAATTATAGACTTGAAATGCAGACTCAGACCAGGACAAGGTAGAGGCATTAAATAAATTCTTTCCATCTGTGATTACAAGAGAGGATGCAAAGTATCGCAGTATTGTACCTGCTTTTGAGGAAAAACGGATACAGTGTAGCGTACTGTATGTGGCCAGTTGTCAATTCTCTTAGTATGGGCACACAAACGTACGTACATGAAGATATCTCACACTCAGGAATGAGGTAGAATAGAAACTCACAATGCGCTTTCTGTATATATATTGTTGTACAGCGCAGTGCTTAGGAGTGACTAGGTGAGGAAAAACTTGCTCAGAGGTCCTGTAGGGCGAGGAGGTTTCTGAGGAAGCTGGGTGGTGAGGAGCTGTGAGAGATGTTGCTGGTCCAGTAGCCGAGTGTAGAATGGTCCCCCTGGCCAGGCATGGCCGTATTTATACAATTTACGAGGATCAGGATTCGGGGTGAGCGTAGCGAGAGGGCCAATCACAGCAGCTTAAGCGTAAGGTGTGAAACGCTCTGATCCTGTGCTGGAGGTTGAAGGTCAAGACTAGGTCGGTGATCGTACCCCTACGTCCATTGCATAGATCTAGTCTCTCGGCGTAGCTGGCTGTACGCTGATTGACTGGTAGGCGCGCGGCTGGAGCTCAGTTGGGAGTTGTTGGGGAGAGGAGCCAATACAACACCACTAATGCTGTTGGCACATACTAGGCATGAACAAGCTCTCTGTTGCACACTGTTGACAAGTGTTCGCAAGTATTAGGCATATATATCTTTTTTCACTTTTATCCTTGTCATATTATGGAATAAATTTTGTGTGTGTTTACCTTTACTTTAAATGTTCTCGTTCTAATTGGGTTTTTCTTTGTTCTGTTGCAGATGTATATGAATTTATGAGTTGAATAAAGCCTTGATTACTGAAGGTGTTTGATATCATATGATAGTTAATTCAACTCATATTCTACTAGCAACATGGAACGTATACTCTGCCCCGACAAGCTTGATGTTGATCCAAATTCCCCAGCTGCTGAGAAAGAATACAAGCATTGGCGTAAAACTTTTGAAAATTTTATTGATGAGCGTGAAGACAGAGCGCCTGACAAACTAAAATGTTTGACAAAATATGTGTCTGCTACTGTGTATGAATACTTTGGTGATGCAACGGAGTTTGAAAAAGAAAAATGAGATATTCGCCAGACATCAGCTCTCCACAAGACGTCAGCGTCCTTCTCAAATGCTGGATAAATTTCTTCGCGACTTGCAGACTCAGCAAAGATTTTAATCTAAAAGCTGTCACAGCCAAAGAATATCGTTAAGAGTTAGTACGGGATGCCTTCATCAACGGATTGTCTTCAAAAAATTTCAGAAATTTTCCCAAAAAATTCAGAAACTTTCCCAAAATTTTCCGAAATGTTCTAAAAAATGTCCAAAAAATTTCCAAATTTTTCCGAAATTTCCCAAAAAATCCAGAAATTTTCCAAAAAATTTCGGAAATTTCCAAAATTTAAACAAAAATGTTCGGAACTTCTCCAAAATTTAAACAAAGTTTTTGGAATTTTTTTTTGACATTTTTTGAAAATATTTGAAATTTTTTTTTAAATTTTCCTATATTGAATGGCAATTAACACTTAAAGGACAATGAAAATCGTGGAATTCTTCAAATATATGCAACATATTAGCAATATACAGTACAGTACCTATATACAGAAGTATATATGCAATGTATTTTATCAATATACGTAATTGCAGGTCAATTGTTTCTCTTACTATTGACAAAACATCATACATATATTGTTTCTCACTTTTGATCTTTTATTCCCATTTTGTATTTCTTTATGGTTCTTTATTATTATTATTACATTGTTATTATTATTATTATTCTTTTATTAACAATTATTATTTTTATTACTTTTTGCCCCCCAAGCCCGGACGTGGGTCAGTGACCTGTGACCAAGTGGGCTAATCCCGGAATTAAAAAAAAAAGTACAGTACCAATATATAAAAGTATACACCTGGTATGCAACTGATTATCAATATACATACGTACAAAACGTATATGTATAAAAGTATCCTGTATTATCCATATGTATATATGCAATGCATTATCAATATATGTATGTACAGTACGTATACAGTATATACGCAGTACGTATATATGCAATGTATTATCAATATGCACACCGGTATGTACAGTTGCCGGCAAAAGTTCTCCAACAACTTTCTACACGGCTGTGGGAGAACTTTTGCTGGCAACTGTACTGTATAGTAGATTCACTGGTTAATATGCAACACAATAACAATTTCGTGATAACAACATCCCCTTTTACAACTTATTAATATGCATTAACGTAAGACCGGCTCATGATAAAGTGAGCCAGCCAGAGTTGTGGTGAGGTCCACCAAGTTAGGTCAAAGTGATGTCCACCCATGATATGATTTAGACCAGCTTAGGTATTAGCTGGGGTTCCCCATACACATTAATGAGCAACTCTGATGTATAAAGTAAACTATGAATTTATGTCAGTACAGGAGATATATCCACTTGACAGACAATCACACAATAGGTCATTCATTACAAGTTGATTTCCACACCACGAACTAAACGGCTGCGGAACTTCCAGATGTCCTGTAAAGAAATGTTAAGAGTGATTTATCAGGCTTTTATTCACATAATATGGTATTACGAGTAACCAAAAATAAACAGCAAAATTTTGTAATTTTACTGTAAAATATTTGATTGGTATAAATTATTAGAGGCCATAATTCTTCTATTCAATAGATTCCAAACTTCTTGAACTTACTATTATTTCAAATAAATTTTGTCCTATTTTACAGTCTGTGAAACTTTGACATTACATGTTGACTGTTTGCTGATGGTGTTCCACTATGAAATCATGTGACATTCCATCAAGCATTTTTAATAAATTAAACCTAATGTTACTATCAATTTCCATTTCTGAAGAAGTTATAGAAGATCACTGAATTTGTTTAAATGGACAGTTGGGCTATAAGATGACAATTTCAAAGCTTAAAACTTTATCACCAAACAGTCCACACACTCCATTAGTGCTTCAAACATTGAAAAGTATTATGTAATTTATATGATCTTAAGTTTGGAAAGAGTTATGTATTATTCATAAAACATTATCTAGGAAATCTGAAAAATAACTGAACCTAAGAATTGTAATAAACAGTATTCATTCGCACAATACACTGCTTATCACTGGTTAATCCCCAATCATCATTAAACTAAACACAGCACTACCACTTGTATGTAAAATTGTGTATAAAAATAATTGAAACTACAATGGGATTTTCTTTCTAGACAGAAACTAATGCAGTAGTTACCTGGAAACTTTTAAGTTTACATAGCAGGAAGTGAAGTTACCTTCCTTGTATGATTTGGATACAGTGAGTTCTGCTATAACGCGTGTTTTGATAACGCGATTTATGAATTAGGAACGATATTTGTATAACGTGAACGCTTGTTTGCTATAACGCGATTTTTGCTTACTATTTCTCCAATTTTGTGGTACAGTGGGGTATGCTATAACGAATCTAATTGGTTCTAGAACCTTGTTTGTTATAGCATTCGTTCGTTATAGGATTAATCCGTTCCAGGCCCCCAAATACAACCACTTAACACTGAAAAATATAATATAAAATTGTAAAAATTGTAAAAAAGTGCATAAATATGCATCTAAACCCCTGAAATAAAGAATATCATTAATATTTGTAATAAAAAAACAATAAATTAGAAAAAAACAAAAAAAAATTAAATAATGTTCGTTGTAGGAGTTTCGTTCGTTATAGCATACCCCACTGTATTAACTGTGAATATAGTAAAGAATATCAACGAGAAGCGTTCTGGTGATAGAATTCCCGGTGATGATCGTAAAAGAAAGGATATAACACTTGAAGAGAAGCTCGATTTTATCAACCTCAAAATCACCCTTCTCCCCCATCAACTAAAGTGTTACATTTACTGTATGATTTCATTATTAGATATGAATGTAACATTTATTTAGACTGTGCTATCCTTTGTATTAGGCTAACTACTAAATTTTTTCGATTTCGAGTAATCTGCACCTAACCCTATTTTCTCCATAAGCCCTGTTATTTCTATTACGCGATTTTCTATAACACGATATTTTACATGAACACAATTATCGCGTTATAGGAGAACTACCTGTACTTTGAAAATGTACTGTATGATCCCACTCATACTGAGTTATATAAACAAAATATATCCTTTTAATGAATGATAAACACTCACATGCATTATACAGTATAGGGATGACTGATCATGAAATCCCATTTTTTGTGAATCCTATAGTCAGTCAGCTCTAAAATACCAAAAATTACTTTGAATATACAGATATTTCGAAATGTAATATTTTCAGTGTTTATGGGTCTACATAGCCCCCGAACCATTGGTCCATACATCTATTACTGGTAACTATATATCTGTATGTACACAACCATACTTCCCCATATTCTTTCTCACAAGCTCCCATACGTTCTTTAGTCTCTCCTCTACCCACCCTCCCTTTCTCTTCCCTTTTCCCTATCTCAAGCCCTTTCCTAATTCCTTTTATTATGCCTCTGTCAGTTCCCTCTCTTTTTTCCAGCTTTTTTCTTCACTCTCTCCCCCTTATACTCTTACTGGGTGAATCAGTGTTAAGAAACACTTAATATCCCCGGAGCTATACAACAATTAGCATAAATCGTTGCAAAAAACTTTATGTTAGATCATTAACACACAACCTTCCCTTACAATCTAAATTAAAACTTGTACTGTATAATATTTTACCTTGAAATTAAGGCCCTCGATACCTTTCGTTACAGCTATTTCTTCAACTTCCTTGGCAATGTTCTCTTGGGTTGTACCTTTCACATCAATGTAATCACATTCTGAACTTGCAAAATGACAGGATATTGCCTTGCGGTAATACTGAAAAGAAAAGGGCTTAGAGTACAGTATGTACAGTATATCAAAATTTTATTTATAAAGAAGTCAAGTGTGTAATAAAAAAATAAAAAAAATTTAATTTTCAACCACTGGTTCCAAAAGTCCTTAGCCACACTCATTAGAACATCTAAGAAAAGCTGGTCACTAAGCCTATGAGGTTCAGTTTATGAAAAAGACAAAGTGGATCCCATAATCCTGATGGCCCATTAGTGTCAGTGCAAATTTAGCATACTAAATACATAAGAACATAAGAATGGAGGAAACTGCAGCGGGCCTATTGGCCCATACTGGGCAGTCCCGTTTACGCCCAACCCCTATTGCTCATATAAGCATCCAACCTATGTTTGAAGCTATTCAGCGTATTCGAGTTAATGATGATATTTGGTAATTTGTTCCATTCATCCACTACTCTGTTTCCAAACCAGTGTTTACCTATTTCACGCCTAAATCTAAATTTGTCTAATTTAAAACCATTGTTACGAGTTCGCTCCTGGTTGGATAGTTTGAGTACCTTTGTAATGTCCCCTTTGTTTAGCCCGGACTTCCACTTATACACCTCTACCAGGTCGCCCCTCGCTCTACGTCTCTCGAGGGAGTGCAAATTAAGATGCTTTAACCTGTCTCTATACTCAAGGTTCCTAATGCCCGGGATTAGTCTTGTCATTCTCCTCTGAATTCTTTCCAATGATTCTACATCCATCCTGTAATACGGTGACCAGAACTGAACTGTGTAATCAAGGTGTGGTCTCACAAGCGCAAGATACAGTTTTAGGATGACCTCGCTAGTCTTGTAACTAACACTCCTTTGTATGAACCCAAGTTCTTTATTAGCCTTGTTATGAGCAAAAACACATTGTTTACTTGGCTTAAGGCTCCTACTTATCATTACTGCTAAATCTCTCTCGCAGTCGGATTTCTCTATGGCATCGTTGTTCATCTGGTATCTGGTTTCCCTGTTTACATCTCCTATACTGAGTACTTTACATTTGTTCACGTTGAATTTCATCTGCCATTTCTCAGACCATTCGGAAAATTTGTTTAGATCGTCTTGTAGTTTTGCGGAGTCCTCGTCAGATTTAATAACACGTCCTATTTTAGTGTCATCAGCAAATTTACTTATGTTGCTGTCTATGCCGATATCTATGTCGTTTATGTATACTGTATAATAAATAATAATGGTCCAAGTACTGAGCCTTGGGGAACTCCACTTGTGACGTTGCTCCAATGGGACTTAATGCTGTTAATGCTCACTCGCTGTTTCCTGTCCCGTAACCACGCCCTAATCCGTTTAAGGATGTTACCTTTGATGCCATGTGCTTCTACCTTTCTAATTAGTCTTTCGTGAGGGACTCTGTCGAAGGCTTTGCTAAAGTCGAGATATACCACATCATAATTGTGCCCCTTGTCCACCGATTCGAAAACTGATGAAAAGAATGTTAATAGATTAGTTAGACAAGAACGTCCGCTTGTGAAGCCATGCTGGGAATCATTGATCAATCGGTGCTTCTACAGGTGATTTCGTATAGAGTTTGAAATGATTGCTTCCAGTAATTTGCTTACTATTGATGTTAGACTGATTGGGGGGTAGTTAGAGGATAAACTTCCAATACTCAAGGAGGCAGTATAGTTGGAGTTGCACTCCCTTCCCTGACTGCAAAGTTGATCATTCACAGCTAGGGCATCTGGGGGTGGCCTGGATGTGAACCAGAGATCTTTAGGGTGGAGTGCTTCTATGCCCCAGAAAAAAAAAAAAAAAATCCTCAACCACTACAAATAACTGGGTTTTCAATACCTGGGTACGATTAGCTCCTGATCCATGTAAAAGGATGGGGTGAAAGAAAACAGTGTCACCCTTTTCCATACTCAGCATTGTCTTGGGTACACCATCATAGCCTCTAACACCATGATACATCTTATTCACACCATTCTGAAATGAGAGTGTAGTGGGAGCAAGTTGACATCAAAATAATGTACTTTCAAAATTAACTGAAGAATGACAAATTATTGACCCCTTTTCAACATGTGCAATTAAAAGTCACTGCAGTCTAAACTTTTAGTCTTGCCTAATGTGGTATGTCTTATTTCTGTCCCTTTCTAAAAATAAAGACAATATCTCTCTCAGCTCTACTTCAGTCCCTGTACAAAAATTGAGCCAGTTGTCAGTGCTAACAGCTTTGAGTACACTTCTGTACCACTGTTCATATTTCTCCTCAATCCACACAGGCCACAAAACAGGTCTTGGGTCAATACACCTTCAGAACCCTGCTCTCTGCAGAATGGAATCCCTTACAAAACCTGTAATAGTCCGAGTTCAAAATGAAATATTGTGAAGTACAGAGGGTCCCCAGGTTACGAATGGGTTCCGTTCCTGAGGATGTTCCGAAGTCGAATTTGTACGTATGTCAGAACACATGCTATGTACCTACTGTACTTACAGAACAATGTTTAAAATCCCACTATATCATAGCCTAAGTCCTCATATACAACTAAAATCAGCTAATTTAAAACAAAGAAATAGAATGATAAAATACAGTAAATGAATGTAAAAAATAAGTCATCAGGTAAATAAAATACTGTAAATTTCAAATTTAACCCCGTTCCTAGAGGCAGGCGTTCGTAAGTCAGACATTTGTACGTCAGGGACCCCATGTATCTCAAAAATGTACCTGTCCAGACTCGGTGTGAAACATTGAGACCACTGATGATAGATATTGGGACATGCATTTAATTTGGTATACACCGGTAGTTTAAAAAACCCAATGCAATGTGTATTTATTTCGGCACATTTAATATGATATTAGGTTACCAAATGTAGTATTTCGGAAGACATCGGATCCTTCCTGGCAGATACTTTTTTGAAATACTGTACATAGGTCTGACATTGTGAATAAATAGTGATAAAAGAAGAAAGTTCTTATAACTTTTCTTTTAAGCTAGGTCATCTATTTTGTATTAAAGCAACTATTATTCATATCAGAGATAAAAAGAGAAAATCCTCAAAATCAGCTTCTTACCTCCCAGTCAGGATAGTCATGCTGTTCCAGAACTCCTTTATGTGACCCACGGATAACAAAGAGACAACCATTATCTCTGTTGATTTTCTCCATAGCTGTCCATGCACAAACAATTCTGTTGGCTGGCCTGCAACCACCATCCTTCTCATGAGCATAGGCTTATATATATATATATATATATATATATATATATATATATATATATATATATATATATATATATATATAGACATCTTCAGAGGTCTGAAGATGTCTGAATAAAGACTAAAGGTATGCTTTTCCATTTTCCGGTGATTTTTATCAAGATTTATCTTATCACGATGATTTATATAAATATATATATATATATATATATATATATATATATATATATATATATAAATATATAAATAATAAAATATATATATATATATATATATATATATATATATATATATATATATATATATATATATATATATATATATATATATATATATATATATATATATATATATATATATATATATATATATATATATATATATCAATATGATTATCACTCAGACATAAGAGAATTTGGTAGGACTAGCATTTAAGTAATTAAATGCGTCTATTAGAACATAACAGCACCAACTAAATACCTGAGAAACCAATAATTGTGGTACTGAAATAATAAGCATTGTAGAAAATTTCATTAAAATATTCCAACATCATTAGGCCACCTAATTATTCAGCTTAATCGAACTATCGTCGCGGACCGGACTCGACGTATAGAATTACCTATACTGTGATTTTAGACAAAATGTATATACAGCGTTTTTCTCTCGACCTGGAAAAAAGCAGCGTAAGGGTCTATATGCATTTCCACCCCAAATATGATTATCACTCAGGCATGAAATTTGGGTGGGACTAATTTCAGTAATTAAGTACATCCATTAGAACATAACAGCACCAACCAAATACCTGAAAACCAATAATTGGCAGAGTACTGAAATAAGCGCCGAGAAAAATTTCATTAAATATTCAAGCATAGATTCGACCACTAATTATTCAGCAATTAGACTTCTTCGATGATGGGACCCGGACTCGGAATGCTCCGGAGTACCTATACTGTGATTTTGAACAAAATCGCGTATATAGGGATTTTGTCTTGACCCTGGGAAAAAGCAGCGTAAAGAAATTACTTTCCCTTATCTTTCCCCTAAACTCTATGATTTTCTCTCAGGCGTGAAATTTGGTGGGATTAATTTCAGTAATTAAGTACATCCAGAAAATTATAACAGCACCAACCAAATATGAGAAACCAATAATTGAAATTACTGAAATAAGCATTGTGAAAAAATTCATTAAAATGTTCAAGCATCATTCGACCACCTAATTATTCAGCAATCGAACTGCCGATGATGGGACGGTTCATGCTCCAGTGCCCATACTTTGATTTTGAATGAGATACATATACTCCGAGTTTTAATGTCTCGACCCTGGAATAAGCCAGCCCGGAAGGGGACCTGTCGTTTTCCCGCAAATATAATTTTCTCATACTTGAAATTTGGTGGGATTAATTTCAGTAATTAAGTACATCCATTTAGAACATAAGCACCAACCAAATGCCTGAGAAACCAATAGTTGAGTCCTGAAATAAGCATTATGAAAAATTTAATTAAATATTCAAGCATCGTTCACGACCACTAATTATTCAGCAATCGAACTGTCGATGATAGGACGGATTTCGACATGCTCAGGTACCTATACTGTGATTTTAGACAAAATGTCTCGGTTGTCTTGACCCTGGAAAAAAGCGTAGAGATTACATATCGTTTTCCACCCAAAAATGATTATCACTCAGACACGAAATTTGGTGGGACTAATTTCCAGTAATTAAACCCATCCATTAGAACATAACAGCACCAACCGTACCTGAAACCAATAATTAGCGAGTACTGAAATAATCATCGAGAAAAATTTCATTAAAATGGTCAAGCATCATTCGACACTAATTATTCTGCAATGAACTTTATCGTTATGGGACGGACTCGGCATATAGATTACCTATGAGGTGTGATTTTTGGAGCAAAATCGTATATAGAGAGTTTGTCATAGGCCCTGGAAAAACAGTGAGGGGGACACTATCGTTTTTCCACCCAAATATGATTTTCTCTAGCACTTGGGGAATTTGGTTGGATTAAGTTTTCAGTAATTAAGTACATCCATTAGAACATAAAAGCACCAACCAAATACCCACAGAAATAATGGTTGAAGTGCAAAATAGCATTGTGAAAATTTAATTAAAATATTCCAAGCTTGTCGTTTCAACCCTGAATTATTCAGCAATCGAACTGTCAATGATAGGGGATAGACTTCGGCATGCTCAGGTAATTACTATACTGTGTTTGAACAAAATGTCAGCGTATGTTGTGTTTTCTCTCAACCCTGTAAAAAGCGTGAGTTACCTTAAGCTCTTTCCAAATATAAATTTCTCTCAGACATGAAATTTGGTGGGATTAATTTCAGTAATTAAATGCATCAGAAAGACATAGCACCAACAGAAATACCTGAGAAACCAATAATTAGCGGTACTGAAATAAGCATTGTGAAGAAATTTCATTAAAATATTCCAAGCTCATTACTGACCACTAATTATTCACTTATTGAACTGTCGATGATGGGACGATTTCGGCATGCTCAGAATTACCTATACTGTGATTTTTGAACCATCGCGTGCTCGAAGTTTTGTCAAGACCTGGAAAAAGCAGCACGTAAGGGTCTATATCGTTTTCACCTATATTATTATCACTCAGACCGCAAATTTGGTGGGACTAAATTTTACCATTAAATTAAATTGCCATCCATTAAGAACATAACAGCACCAATGAAATACGCAGAAACCAATAATTGGTACTGGAAATAAGCATTGTGAAATTTCATTAAAATGTTTCAATCATTAAAACCCGCTAATTAATCAGAGCTATCGATGATGGGACCCGGACTTCGACATGCTAAAGGAGTACCTATACTGTGATTTTTTGAACGGAAATAGCATATATCGCATTCTCGATCACCTGGGAAAAAGCGCGTAAAAGTTCCCCTTATCGTTGCTACCTAAATATCAATATTATCCTTTCAGACATGAAATTTGGTGGAACTAATTTCAGTAGTAAAATACATTAAATGAACCTTAAGCAAGCTTAAACTAAATGCCTAGAAACCAATAGTTGGAAGTACTGAAATAAGCATTGTAGAAAAGAATATCATTGCGTGTTCAAGCATCATTCACAAATACAAAGTTATTCAGCAATCGGACTTTATGCGATGATGGGCAGGACTAAGCATGTGCTCCAGAATTACCTATACCAGCGATTTTTGAACCAAATGGCATATGCTCCAGAGATTTTCTCTGAGCCTGAAACGTAAGGAGGTCCCAACTTATGCGTTTTTCCACCCAAAATATGATTATCACTCAGACATGAAATTTGGTGGGACTAATTTCAGTAATTGGTACATCCGTCTGCACCATAACAGCACCAACCCAACCCTGAAACTAATAATTGGCGAGTACTGAAATAAGCATTGTGAAAATTTTTTATTAAAATATTTAAAGCATCATTAGGCCACTAATTATTTAAACAATCGAACTATGGAAGTGATGGACGGACTCGGCATGCTCCAGGAGTGCCTATACTGCTTTGACTTTAGACAAAATCCTGTATATATCGAGGTTTGTCTAGAGCCCTGGAAAAAAAGCGTAAGGGTCCCCCCATATGCGTTTTTCCCACCTAAATATAGTTTTCTCTCAGAGCTAGCAGAATTTGTGGGATTAAAGACAGTAATTAAGTACATCAGAAGAACATAACACCAATACCTGAAAACCAATAATTGGCAGTACTGAAATAAGCATCGAGAAAATTCATTAAAATCTTCAACATGAATTCACAGGCCCACTAATTATTCAGCAATCAGACTGTCGATGATAGGATGACTCGGCATGCTCAGAATGCCTACCGTGATTTTTGAACAAAATAGTATATGTGTGACCCTGGAAACGTAAGGGTCCCCCATATCACGTTTTTCACCAAACTATGATTATCACTCCAGACATGAGATTTGGTGGGACTAATTTCAGTAATTAAATACATCCATTAGAACATAACCTTTCCAACCAAATACACGAAACCAATAATTAAGTACTGAAACCAGCATTGTGAAAATTTCATTAAAATATTTAAAAGCATCATTATTCACGACACTAATTATTCTGCAATGTCAGACTGTCGATCAGGACCGGACTCGGCATACTCTGGGGAGCACCTATAGTGTGATTTTTTGAGCAAAATCGCATATATTTGACTCGACCCTGGAAAAAGCGAAGGGACATATGCGTTTTTCCACCCAAATATGATTTTCTCTCATACTTGAAATTTGGTGGGATTAATTTCAGTAAATAAGTACATCCATTAGAACCTGCCTTTCCAGCAAACCCCTGAGAAACTAATAATTGGTAGAAATAAGCATTGTGACCAAATTTTATTAAAATATTCCAGCATCATTGGGCCTTTGGTATTCAGCAATCAAACTGTCGATGATAGATTCCGGACTCGGCATGCTCAGGTACTATGCTGAGATTTTGAACAAAAATCGCCATATGCTCGCGTTTGTCTCTACCTACTGGAAAAAACCGTAAGGGGTGACCTTTTGTCACGTTTTCCCCAAATATGATTTTTCTCTCAGGCGTGAAATTTGGTGGGGGTCTTAATTTCAGTAATTAAGTACATCGAAGAACATAACAACACCAATGAAATACGAAACCAATAATTGGCGAGCCATTGATAATCATCGAGAAAAATTCATTAAAATATTCCAAGCATCTTATTCGACACTCTAATTATTCAGCGATGAGACTGGCCAAATGATTGCACCCGGACTTCGGCACTCCAGGAGTACCCTATACTGTGATTTTGAACAAAATCGTATATGTAAAATTTTATCGACCCTGGAAAAAACTTCGTAAGGGGTGGACCCATATGCGTTTTTCCTGACCATGATTTTTCTCATACTTGAAATTTGGTGGGATTAATTTCGGTAATTAAAATTACATCAGAAGAACATAACACCAACCAAATACCTGAGAAACCAATAGTTGGAAATTAC